CCCCCTCCCCTCCCCCCAGTTTACCCCTCCCCCCAGCCAGTTAAGCCCCCAGTATACTACCACCCACCAGTTTACTAGCCCCACCCCTAGTTTACCCCTTCCCATTATTTACCCCCCCCCTCCAGTTTTACCCTGCCCCTTTAGATGGGGGGGGGGTAAGAAACTTCAGGGGGCGAGGGGGCGAGGGGATGACCAGTTTAACCCCCCCCTTGCTTGAGGGGGCGAGAGGACGAAGTTGAGACATGGCATTTAGTAAAAGACAGGGCATAAAATCTGCAAACTTCTCGCAAAATTTTGCAAAAATAATCGAATTTAGTTCCAAAAATGAAATGGATTGTAATCAATTATAATGGATTATAATGGATTTTCATTTCAAAATAATCGATTATAATGGATTATCTTGGCAAAAATATTCGATTTCAGTGACAAACTTAATGGATTATAATCGATTATAATGGATTATAATGGATTATTTTTGTTAAAAAAAAATCGATTATAATGGCTATATAATCGATTTCGTGATCTGAATTTTACATTCGCAATGGATTATAATCGATTATTTTTGTCTCGGGAATCCATTATAATCGATTAGAATCCATGGGCGCTCGGTGCGGGTTGAGTTGATAGCTTTAAAAATAGCGGGAAGCTATTTGACTTTCAGACTTAATCTTTTGAATGACGAGATTCCATTTTTTGGGAGTTGAAGCTTCTCCGAAGTGATAAGTAAATGGGAGTCATTAAGGGTCTTCGCCTGATGTGCTTCCTCTATGCGGGGTCGAAACAACAAATTTAAAAAAAAAACTATCAAGAAAGTCAAATCATACCAAAAAGTGGTCGAAAAAGTCCAAACTCAACTAAATTTAGTAAAAACGGTCGAAACAAACAATTTTTTGGCCGAGAAAGTTATATCATAAATCGAACAAATCGACCGATAGCGAGTGATCAAAATAAATGACATTGATCTTCTCAAACAAATTGCTACGTACACAGGACAAAAAACTTTTAGTTCAAACGTGCTGATGAAGGGCATCAAAGACGAACAATAGAATTGGGCGGTAAGAAGTTACGGTTACAGAAAAATAGATTAAATTAGACTTTGAAATATTCTGGTCAAAATTAATGCATGAACAGATAGACAGAAAGAGGTTGAAAGGATCTGATTTAAGATTTTGTCTAGCAAGTCAAGAAATATTTAAACCGTCTATCAAACAATCTGGTTTATGGGAGGATGTGACAATGAACTTGGATGAAAGAAATAACTTGATCGATAACGTAATCAGTAACTCTGAATCATCAGATGAAAGGAAAATAGTAGGTAATTTTCAAAATTACCTACTACGGTTAATAATACGGTTTCAAAGAATTGAGGCGATCAACTTCGGAGAATGACGAGATTCTAAAACAGACAAAAAACTTGATTTTAATACACAATACTGATTATTTTTCCCATTTTTCAGTAATATCAACAATTATTTCAAAAAATCTAATTGAAACAAGGATGGGCGGTTACTGGGCAAGTAGCATAGAATGTTTCGCCCAGTCTTAAAAAAATACAACCAAACTATTTTTCAAATGAGTGCCGTTTTTTTCGGCGTGGTGTGCTAAGAAATCTGAGCGAAAAACTAGAGCTCGGTCATTTTCGTCAGTCATTGTAAAATATGCAAACGGAAAAACAATTTTTGCAGTCAAACAACAGGAAAAACAAAACAAAAATTAAAATTTTATTTTATTTCAATAATTTTTCCCAAATTTTTGAAGTTTTTCATTCCTAATATGAAGCTAAAAGCTCCAAAAACTAACTACATTTGAGTAAAACTCAATTTTCAAGCCTTAAATTAAGCATAAATAAGCTAATGTAAGCCTGCTCACTCGCTCGAAATTAGACGAAAAAATCAAAATTTCAAACCGATTTTTATTGACACTGAAAATTTTTTTTGAAATTTTTTGTCGTCCAAATCACGACTGTAAGTGTTTTAATATGATATATCTTTCAACCCAGTCCAAGAATTAATTGTAGTAACCGATTTTGCGAGAGAAACAAAAAGAACAAAAACTAAAATACACCCGAATACAAAGTTCCTCCCCATTTTCAATGGTCGGAACAAGAAGGGAACATTTAAAATTATTTGGTTTATTGTTTAATTTTGGAACAGCGACAAGTAATTTGCTCGATTTGCGAGAATTGAACAATCATTTGATAGTTTTAAAAGCATCAGCATATGGGTGCAAAACGCTGAGAGACACAGCGAATTCTTAAAACTATGAGAAAAACAAAAAAAACATCTACCAGCTTAGGAAAAAAAACTGTGATAACCATGAAAAGAACTAAAACTCAAGAAGGTGAAAAATAAGATTTAATTCTTATCAATAATTAAAAACGGTTACCTTGTGACAACATATTGTAATTTTTATTAAAAAGAAGTTAAAATTATCTTTTAGTTACAAAAAAAATAGAAGAAAAACCTTAATAATAGTGCACTAACGTTTTAGAAATAGCATAGGTAACATAGACAGAAACAAAACTCAAATGTATCTTTGATTGATTAACGTGAGATTTTTTTAAATTCCCTAAATCCTCAAATTAGGAGTGAAAAATGAAAAAAAATTTAAAAATAATAAGCCTTGTAAACCTGGCAAAACAAATATCAAAATTAAATTATCCTAAACACACAAATTCGTACAGTAAACGGATTTCACGCCAGGTATTTGTATGCGTATATATAGGATAAGATAGCGTCTCCTTAGTGTAGTTTTTAACTTTTTAGTTTAACCGGCAAAACGTTCAATTTTTTTTTCATGTCAGCTCAAAGAATTTCTTTGCAGAGAAGCAGTTGAAAAAAAAATTATCAAATAATACTTGATTAGTTTGTTGATTTTTTCTTTTTTAAGATGTCAGTAGTCTCAATGCATTTGCAAAAGTCCTTTTGTTTCTAATGACATATTGATATAGAATTGTATCAGAATTCAGCTCATTTTGATTCCGAAGTCAGATTAGAGATTTTTGCGCAGTGCAGCAGATTGTTTAGGTTTTGATCCGAAAAAAACGCATTTCAAAACCCAGTTCAACTGTTTTTCTAACGACAGCAATGAGGTTACCCAAATTTGTTTTAAAAGCATTGCTCAAAAAACTAAATATATTGAAATTAAAAAAAGAAGCAGTGCAAGTAAATTTACATGATTGGTTGATGTCAAATTTTATCTAGAGTTTGAACTCTTTGGGTGTGTTTTGCAAAGTTTTTGAGTTTGAATTGACAGAATTGGCAAGGGAAAATTGTGAATGATTTAAAGCTACTTCTGAAGACGAGGATGGTACATTTACAAAACTGCCTTTGTACTGCTCCTAGTGGCACACCTCTTTTGAAATTTCATTTATAAAAATTTCGTTTACAACCAGATTTTTGTGAAATTGAGCCAAAAGCCTCTGAATGGTCCAACAAAGCAATAAAAAAACTTTTTTTAGAAAGTTTTTTTTTCAGGTGTTCTGATCAAAGTATATCAACGCATCTTGTTTCGTAAATTTTCTTACGAGATCATCTGATGAGATGAGGAGAACTTATTTGATGTTTGTCCAAACCTTTTTTGATACAGGCGTGAAGATTTTTTCAAAAATTTGGGAAAAGCTTAACTATTGAGAGTGACCGATAAATTTTTAGATCCAGGAAGTCTTCTTTGTTTGAAGTCTTCTTATTCTTTCAGTTCAATTGGGAAACCATTTATCATCTATACAGACAAAAAACAGAAGTAAGCTGTGTCAAAATAAATAATTATGCATCAATCAAGAAGAGTCAAGATGATAACAATGAAGCCATACAGAAAATCGACTAAAAAACCGACTACTAGCGGCTGATTCACTGATAAGAGTCAGCCAGAGAAAAAACTTCCCGGAAGAACTGAAAATGCGAAAAGAGGCTAGTACGAGATAGCATAACAGCAAAACTGCGCATTAGATCAATTTGAGAAATCGTATTCAATTCAACGAAGTCTTTAGTAGCAAGGAACGACCGCAGCATCAGAACCTTTAAACCTTTATGATTAGACAAACCGGCTACGTTAGATGATGCTCAGGGGTTTTGGGAAGAAAAAAGAAAAATTTGCCTTTAATTTTGATAGACTTAACCAGATCTGTTCAAGCAGCTGGACACACTGAGGTTAATCCGATAGAACAAGCACAAAACGAAATTAAACGCTGAAGCAAAATCATATCAGGAGGCATTCGCAACTGTGAACTGTTAACTCGAACGATCTTGAAAAAAATCATGGATAATTTCGAAAAGTGGCTTATTTGAATAAAATCACTCAAATGGAGCAGTTTCAGCTACAATCATAAAGAAAAAAGCCAATCTCAAAAAAATTAATTTTCGATAGTGGATCAAACAATCAGATCAAAAAGACCAGCTGGCCGTACCGAGGATAATTCTTTTCGTTGACTCATTGGACTCCAACTGCAAACTGTTTCGGTTGGGTGCATACGGAGATGTGCATTTGAAAAGTCAAAAGCCTTCAAATAGATCCTAAACGATCGGAAAAAGGCGATCTACTTGTGCTAACTGACACAAATTATGCGTAGTCGTTAAGTCGTTTGTCAGCTCTATCCGTAGTCGTTGAGAAAAAAACGGATACCAAGGATAAGTAGACGATTATAGAGAACTAAACTATCAAATCGAAAAGTTAAGCTCGCCTTTATGAAGGATAAGGGGCTTCATTGACTCATTGAACGACAAAATTGATTTTTCTCGATTAATGATTTGAGTTTTGGTCAATTGCGAATGGCTTTAAATTACAGC